TGTGTGTTATGTGTGTGTGTGAATACAACTATGTCTGTGTGTATGTCTGAGCGTGTGTCTGACAGTGTGTATATGTGTCTGGCAGCATATGTGTCTAACATTATGCATATGTGCATGTGTTTCTGATAGTGGGAATCTGCGCATGTGTGTCTAACAGAGTGTGTGTATAAATAGTGTGTCTGTGTTTGTCTGTGTCTGACATTGACATTATGACTGTGTGTCCATGAGTGTGTATATGTGTGTATTCTGGAAGAGTGTAAGGGTAAAACAGTTTATGTGTGTCTATCTAGGTAGGAGGCCTGGCCATTTTTAAGGGTCATGAAATTTCTAATGGTAGCCCTTTATCTATCTATCTATCTATCTATCTATATCCATTCACTATGTAATTTATTATTGTGCTTTGAGGCAGCAGGCCATGAACTTCTATCTACTAGTAGCCCACGGGTCAAATGCTGCTGCCCCTTCGGCAGCCCTCTCTTGCTGTAGACAACTAAAAGAGCCTCCTGCATTTATGCTTCAACTGTTTTTTGTTTTTGTTTGTTTTGTTATCAGTAGGTAGTTGGAGGTGTTAGGGGTTTCTCACTACTAGAGCATATTAAAAAAAAAAAAAACATACAGGGAAACTTTAAAAAAGTACAGTATTAAAACAAATGATGGTACTTTTTTCAGAGTGAGCACTTACACGACTTTCACATGATCAGGGTCTTTTATTGTCCTCTGAAATATTCACAGAAAGAAGGTTGTTGGCTAAGAAGTGTTCCACGAAGAAACCCTCCCATTATGTAGTTTCCTTTCTTCTCAGCAGCTTCGTTACCCTAATTGTTTAGTGTTTACATTTAACAAACTGGGAGACTGGTTTAAATGTCCTTGCTAGAGCAGTACATACTGAGACCTTCTGCCATATGGTCCATGCCTCACCTAAGAGCATTGCAGATGCATTTTTTAGAGTGTTTAGTCAATCCTCTTTATGACATCAAGATCTTACTGCTTGCGGATGTTGACAAAGGCTGTTGTTGACCATTAACTTTGGTATTGTTTATTCAAGCACTTCTTTAATTGCCACCACAATAACTATTATTACCTTTGTCCTCCCCCTAGGAAAAGGTAGTAACTGCATATTAGGATTTCACAGAGATATTACTGGATTGCTTTAAAATAATATCTAAAGAAGAACTTCAGCACATTCTCTTCTTGACCCCCAACATGAAATGACTATTTTTAAAATCCCTTGTCCTAAAATCGCCCTTTGCGATATGCGACCATCACATCATTAATAGGAATATGTTCTGCTTCTTCACATGTGGATATTTCTTTTTATCAGAAACAATTTTTAAACTTTCCCCCCCATCACTTTTCCCCATCATCTGCGGTTTCTTTGCCATATTTTTTGGCATCAATACCACCAATGGTCTATGACTGAAGCTGACATGAAAAATAGGCTCTTCACATTTTTCTTCTCTTCAGCATTCAGTCTTAACATCACTAGATCGGTTCTAAAATTCAAACCGTGTTTACTACTTGGAGTTTCATAAATGTGATATCGGTCTACTTCATTTAGACCCAAAAATTACAAACTTGAAACTCAAACAAATAGGATACCTCCTTCTGGAATGTATCCAATATGAGATCCAAATTATAATTTTTTGATTCTATTTTACCAATCATTTCATATAAGTAATTGTGGCAAAGATGCCTCAGCCACGAGCTCCTGGAGGACTATGGGCCGTATCCAAAGACCCTGTTTGGGAATTAAACCTCCCCAGCTGCCATTAGCAGCTTTCCCTGGGTGCCCTTGGTGCGGCACTTTCCTTTCATTCGAATGGAACTGAACACTAGCTCCCTGGTGACCGTTCGCATGAAGAAATCCATGAATTGTCCTCAACGGTTCTTAGCTGCGATCATCATGGAACTAAATTTGACATGAGGACTTTGTAGGTTCCTGGTTACCTCAGCGGGATCTGAGCGCTATTTTGGACAACTTAGATCAGGGCTTTTTAAATATATTTTTTTTTGTGGGGTTTTTATATATTTTTATGATGTTTTGGGGTATTTTTATGTTGTTTGCCTCTCTGTTCCTAGGAGATAATTAGCTTACCGGTCTTTAACGCAGTTATCTCCCAGGCACACAGGATCTTGGGAGAAAAGACCCTGTATTTTTGTGTAAGAAACCCCATGTAGGGGTCTATGCATAAGAGGCTGTGTGTGGCCCATAATAAAGTCCGTTCACTCCCAGCATTAAGTCTCGTCTAATGTGTGTGTGTGGGGGGGGGGGGTATACTTGCTATACAGCTATACTCTCTGAAGGAGAGCTCTAACCACTGGGAGCTGGACCTAGGACCCAAGCCAAGTTGCGGCGGCTAGGGGCTAGAGGTGCTTATGGTGTCCCGGTGATAGATAGGGAGCGTGTTTGGTGGAGCTACCCAGTCGGGGTACCAGGCTTTCCACCACAGTAATAAATAACTTATAGGCAGATTTTTTGTATATTATATATTTTATAGATGACTAATTCTGTAGGTGTGATTCGCAAAGTTTTTAAAATACCTCTCAATGAAGCGGTTTGGGTGCTGTGGTCATTTTAAACTTACAATGTAAAACATCACAGTTATGTAGAAAATTGCAGGTTTAAAGGACCACTATAGGCACCCAGACCACTTCAGCTTAATGAGGTGGTCTGGTTGCCTGGTCCAGCTAGGGTTAACCCTTTTTTCTATAAACATAGCAGTTTCAGAGAAACTGCTATGTTTATATTAGGGTTAATCCAGCCTCTAGTGGCTGTCTCATTGACAGCCGCTAGAGTGCTTCCGCGCTTCTCACTGTGAAAATCACAGTGAGAAAACACCAGTGTCCATAGGAAACCATTGTGAATGCTTTCCTATGGACTGGCTGAATGCGCATGCGCATTCAGCCGGTGACGGAAGACGAGGGAGGAGAGGAGGAGGAGAGTCCCCTGCCCGGTGCTGGAGAAAGAGGTTAGTTATACCCCTTTCCTTTCCCCAGAGCCCGGCGGGAGGGGGACCCTGAGGGTGGGGGCACCCTCAGGGCACTATAGTGCCAGGAAAACGAGTATGTTTTCCTGGCACTATAGTGGTCCTTTAAGCACAGGTACGAAATTACTGATACCAGAGCACAATGCTCTATGTATCACAAAACATTAGGTCTAACCCAGTACTAACACGGATAAGGGAAGGGCTTAACCCACAATCTTAATCATCAACTAAAAAAGAATACAAGACAAACCTCCAAAGTTGAAAGTAATTTTGTTTGTGTACTTTTAGTTGGAAGTTGCATCAGAAACAAAGTCTAATTTAAAAGGAAACAAAGCCTATAACAGAATTAGCTTGCGTCACCATGTGTAAGCAAAATGTCTAAATTTCAGTGTTTATGTTATTACATCAGAGAAACCGTTTCCTAGGCTTTATTTAGTATTGCTTTTTGCAGGGAAATACATTTCATAAAATTACTTAACAAACAGTGTATGTTTGTGAGGGGTCCTGATGTTTATACTATACACATAAATTCAACAAACCTGCCTTATGACTTCAAACTAGATATTGTTCAATCAAGCAATCCGTGTTTGTAGCACAACATACCATTTAATGGCTATTACACTATTAAGAGAATATTCAAAATTCTGAGTGTAATCAGCTCACTAAACTGGTAGATGAGTTTCAGAATGTCCATCAGTTCCCAATTCTCCTCTACGATGAGCGTTGGACTGGCTATCAGCAAGTGAGCCTGATGATATCCGTGGCCCTGGTGTTGGCACCATAGTTTAGGCACTGGAGAAAAGATAAGTTAAATGCTTTTGAATCAGCTTTTTACTGAAATTGGGGGGCCTACAAAAAATCAGGCAATAGGAAACTATATCTCGTTAGGAATACAGGCTTGTATTCTACATGCTATAGAGCTCCTTTAAAATCTGAACACATCCAAGGCGTTAAAATATGATTAACATTTTTCCATGTGTTATTTTACCTGACAAGATAGACCAATGTTTTAGTGTTTTATTCTTCTCCAAACATAAAGAACATGGTAAACCAACAGAAGAATAATAAAGGGTACATTTACCCAATAACGGAAGCAGATCACGCAGCAGTTGCCATACGGCGGACAATGCCTGCTGAACACTGGGATGTAATGGAAGCTTTTGACCTGCTATGTGCTGAATTTTGGCAGCGGCTTAAAAACCTGCAAATCAAGCATTACAGCATCAGCATGAGCAGAGGCCGACCTCCCAAGCACCGGGTCTGCGTCTGCATTGGCAGCATACGACCTACCAGCGTTTATGTGCTCCAATGACCATCTCTAAGGGAGCCTCTAGGATGATATTCCCTTCGCACCACCTCCACTATACTGCGGCCTGCTCATGGGATACATAGCTAGGAAGGTATTGTGCCCTGGTTCATCTACTATCCTGGAGGCTGTTCGTGGGAGTTCTCTGGCCTTGCCTGTAATGGCTGCCCCATGGCACTCTGGAGGCCTACTTGTGAACAGCAGGGCTCTAGCCTTACGAATGGATATCGGCTGATCTCCTGCACAGGCCTGAGGTTATTCCAGCTCACTCCACCATTTAGATGTTGTGGTACACACTGGACTGATCCAGAGTTACAAATTTTGTTTTAATTTTCTTTTTTCTAACTGCAAACCTAGCCTTTGATTTGTGATCCTCACCTCATGTTATTACATTACCTATAAGGTCCACAGGACAGTTTATTTGCTGTGTTGAAACTACATACGCCAGTTAATTAAGCTATACTATGATCCATATGAAAGTGGTGTCTCTATCTACTATGAAAAAGCAATCTGTTTAGCGCATATGTTCCATATTGTTCTTTAACTAGTTTATAAAAAAAAAAAGTGCAACAAAATAAGAAACTCGGCAGCTGTTTAAGAAGGAGATAGATAATTTGGCTGCACTGTTTACAAACAGTGGGTGTTTTTATCACGTGTACTTGTATGAGGTATCTAAATTGCCCAATTTATATTTTCCTAGTTGATTTGTTCATAACCACATGGTTCAAACATCTCGAGACATTACGTCAAGCAGCTTGTCAATTAAGGGAAGTAAACACATTTCTAATGTTATTATTTCATTAACAAAACTCGCTTGCACCAATGTTTGACAATTAATTGGCTTCCATATTTCTGAAACCAGAGTGTATGTGCTTCTTACCAAATAATACACTTTGTAAAACATTCACACTTTAACCACTACGATTTAATGCAACAAGGGGATTACAAGTCTCACTGTGATTTTGTTGAGTTGCTAAATATTTCCTTATGTTTTAAGAGAAATTCACTTGTTCATATAGAAAGTTGAAGCCTACGATCACCTCTGGTTATGAGTAATAGAAAAGTGACAATAATGACCTTTTAATGCAGGTGTAAAATTACTGTAAAAAGAAACGAGTGAAAAGAAACAGCTCTACACAAGTCGAGAACTTAGTAAAGAACTGCAAGCTTAGTTTCTTTATGATATCATAATTCCAGTTACAAAACCCAAAAATGGGACAATGTGCTAATTTCTGTGAAACACGTTTGTTTTGTTTTTCATATCAGCACTGAACATTAGCTATCAGTTTATATGTGAATAATATTGGAAGATGATGATTGTGATTCAATCTCGGTCAACACATACCGTACTTGTCCGTCTGACCTCCTCCAGGAAAGTAACTAACTGTTATGTTAATCTGATTTGTTTGGTGTTACTTGGATTATTTTATAATCAGTGTGGAATTTATTTCCTAAGCAGTGAATTGACCAGAATTGAAAACCAAATAGCAAAAATTAAGCCAACATATTTAAATTGGAAAAATAAATAGTTGTATTTAAAAAAAAAATTTTTATTAAACAATTTTGCCAGAAAATGGCTTCCAGTGCACTAATTACTAAATAAACTAATTACTAAATAAACCCTTTAGTATTTATAATACTTAGCTGCTTTAACTTTTGATGATTGTTCAGGTCATATTGATACTTAAACAAGGTATACAGGTCGGCTATTTTTTAAATCTCTTGCAACATTTTTTTTTTTTATCATATGTGTATCTGTTTGTTGAATTTTGTTCATATCATGCTTCAGGGTGAGATTTTTGGTTTTAAATGCTGTTTTCATGTATAAATCTACATTTGGTTAGAATTAAGGTATTTAAAAGAAAATGCATAGCATTCCAATGAAATACAGACTTTTCTGTATATAGTTCAAATCAAAGCAGATAAGAAAGACATGACTCTTTCCCTCTGACAATGGTGCAGATTTGCTTCTAGTGTTGAACATATTTAAAAGATTAAGAGAGTCATTCACTAAAGTGGAAATTCAAAGTGAATTTAAAATGTAATGTCAAAACAGCCGTAATGGAAAAATTCTGTCAGCTATGCTTTACATTTGTTACTGTGGCCTTAAATTTGATACCCACTACGAATCCACTTTGAATGCTCACTTCAGCAAATAACCCTGTCAGTCCCATACGAAGCATTGGTCACATGTGTTGGTTCCATTTTCATCCGTGCATCAATTAGTAGAACGCTGCGAGGAAATGAACGAGGTAAACAGCGTCTCATAATCCCAGAGAGGGAACATTCTTAGAAGATGAAGGCTGTTATCATAAACAGCTTAGAGCTCCGTGCCGATTGTAGGGAAGAAAACAACATGTACAAAAACAGATCCAGTGTGTGCAAAGAAATCATTTTTTAATCTGTCCCCCAGGAGAAATGTATGTTTTCCAGTATCTTCAAATATGTAGAAAGAATGTGCCCAACTTAATAGTGTATTAGTATATTATTTATATCAAGCAATATGTTGTTAAATTTGCATTGATTATACTTTTGATATCTGTTTAGTTCATGTTTATTTTGACCTTGGCAAGACTGGTGTCCTTGGGGGTCTGTTCCATCTTGGTGACAAGCAAGAAGCCTTGAATCTCTGCTATAAAAATGGTGGAATTCTGTGCCACGACTCTATGTGTTGGTAATGTTGAGCATTTGAGAACAAGATCACCCTCGGGACATGTAATCTTCACCTTCACATGCTATCACAAACAAATTGATGGTATGCACGCATATATATCTAATGTAAAGTAAGCTATGAATTGATAAATGTGAAAATTACAAAAACTGTACTTAACTACATCAAGTGGTGTAACCCCAAAGCCAAGAAAGGAGATTAATTCTTGCCATGGAAATACACCCAAGCAGTGTTTACATTGAACATTTGGGGGCCTAATATACATCAAATAGCTCATTTTAGATGTGTGTGCTTCTCTGTGAGTTTGGTGGAGGTATCGCAAGCAGGATGTCATCTGATATATTATTGTCAAGGGAAATTACAACAAAACCAGTGTTTCCTATAAAAGGAAACATTTTGTAACTTTCACCTCAATGTACATGTAATTACTGCAGCAAGGTTTAAATTGGTGTTTGTCAAACTTTCCTAACTTCAAAAAAGTACCAGAGATTGGGAAATTGCAATCTGTCTTACTCAAGGTCTTGATTCTTGAGACAATATAAAGACTCATGTTGGTTTGCTCCCTCTTCCCCTTTTGTCAAAAATGTCTCCCTTTTTTTCCTTTTAACATTTGGTAATTTTTTCAAGAAATGTGTAAAGTTTCTTCTACTTTTCTAATTTTTCTATTTTTTGTGGAGATATTCAGGTCCTTGGGAATGGTTTTCGTTGGTGGTGGTGATAACACCTCCTTAACAGCTCTTTGGATTTGGTTGCATATACTTTGTAAAGTGTATATATACCTTGCAGTGAGGGCTAGTGTCTTATATCATTAAACTATATCTTTATTCCCTTAGATTCACAATTGTGTCTTTTTAATCTGTATATGTCTAATAAAGTTGTTTGCAATAACGTCATTAGGTGTGCAGGGCATCTAAAGTTACTTGTAGTTACATTACCCACCATTATTGATTCTTTGAAGAGGATCTTTCTAGATCACTATTAATGCACAATATTAAATCAGAGACCTCCTGAATTCTACTGTGGCCTTCAAAACATATCCTGCCATATATTATAATGTACCAACACTGGTCTCCATTGAGTGCTCAATGCTGCTAACAGTATCACCTTTGCTCTCATCTTCCATGAAGGATAATGTCCTACACCATGTGTGGGTAGAATTTGCAGAAGTACAACTTTTATGACGTCTTGCCATACCAGAGGCTGGCAAAGCATCATGGCATTTGGAGTTCCACAATTTTTAGGGATCTCTAAAGTTTGCCAAACCCTGTCCTAGAACAAAGAGATGCAAAAAAATCCAATTTTTAGAAACTGTCGAATCACAGAATATCATGATTGTTCACTAAAGTGTGAATTTCAGGAATTAAAAATGAATTTCAAGACCAAAGCAGCCTCCCGAGTAATAAAACATTGCTGCACACAGAGAATTGACTTCTGAACTGAATGCTCCTATGGAGGTGCAATGTGTTTTAAGGTCAACAGCCTGCCTTATCAGCAGATACCAGGAACATCACCAGCTGGCAGGCGTTACAAGCACACTAAACACATCTTATTCATGGGGAAGAACATGTTGTGGTTTAACCCCTTAAGGACACATAACATGTGTGACATGTCATGATTCCCTTATATTCCAGAAGTTTGGTCCTTAAGGGGTTAAAGGCAGGGGAGGGCTGGCAGCCTTAGGCCTGGGGGGCAAAACCAGTCAAGTGGCCCATTGCACCACCAAATCAGTTCACCATTCATGCCCACCTTTTCCTGGTTTTATAACGGATATTGATGTTACGCCAATCAGTAGCTCTTTGCCATACCCGCTCCTTCACGGCTCTGACTTTCAATGTTGTCAGAGCGCAGGCTGAGAATCTCTGAGCCTGTGCTCTGACTCACTAACTGAGCGCCGGAACCACGAGGGAGAGGCTATAATCTGACTGCACCTACTACTGGTGCGCACCAGTGGACCACCAGCAAATCATTTAAACTGAATAGGCTGGTGTCCCCAACTTGTGAGCTGTGTTGGCCGCCAGGCGCCTCTGTTGTCAGGGCACCTTGCGTGACTGCACAGCTTGCACACCCCAACGGCTGGCCCTGCTGACACACACTGATGTTACTACTTAGACATCCCTCAATATTAACACAGACATCAGAGTAAACACCAATAAACTGTGGAAACAGAGCTGATCCCCCCAAATTTCTGTCTGTAATGTATTAGGGGAGGGGGGTCAGTAATGTAGGGGAGGGGGGTGAGTAATGTATTAGGGGAGGGGGGTCAGTAATGTATTAGGGGAGGGTCAGTAATGTATTAGGGGGTCAATGTATTAGGGAGGGTCTGGTATTAGGGGTCAGTAGTCAGTAGAGGGCCAAGGAGGTCAGGGTCAGGGGAGGGTGTATGTAGGGGAAGGGAGGAGGGTCAGTAATGTATTAGGGAGGGTCAGTATTGAGGGTCCAGTAATGTATTAGGGGAGGGTCAATGTGAGGGAGGGGTGTATTGGGAAGAGGCCGGGGTCAGTGGGAGGAGGGGGGTCAGTAATGTATTAGGGGGGGTCAGTAATGTATTAGGGGTGTACTAGGAAGGGTCAGTAATGTATTAGTAGTATTAGGAAGGGGGGCAGGTCAGTAGTGGTCAGTAATGTGAGGGGGGAGGGTCAGTAGTGTATTAGGGGAGGGGGGTGAGTAATGTATTAGGGGAGGGGGGTCAGTAATGTATTAGGGGAGGGGGGTCAGTAGTGTATTAGGGGAAGGGAGGGGGGTCAGTAGTGTCATGGTGTGTGTGTCTGTCATGGTGTGTGTCTATCTGTGTCTTGGTGTGTGTGTGTCTGTGTCATGGTGTGTCTGTCATGGAGTGTGTGTATCTGTCTGTGTCATGGAGTGTGTTTCTGTCTATCTGTGTCATGGTGTGGCTGTCTGTTTGTGTAATGGCGTGTGTGTCAGTGACATGGTTTGTCTTTGTCATGGTGTGTGTGTGTGTGTGTGTCTGTCAAGGTGTGTGTGTGTGTCTGTCAAGGTGGGTGTGTGTGTCTGTCATGGTATGTGTGTATCTGTCAAGGTGTGTGTGTGTGTCTGTCATGGTATGTGTGTATCTGTCAAGGTGTGTGTGTGTGTCTGTCATGATATGTGTGTGTGTCTGTCGTGGGATGTGTGTGTCTGTGTCTGTCATGGTGTATGTGTGTGTCTGTGTGTGTTTGAAAATAGTGTTGCTCACCTTTTTGTTTTTCCACGCCATTCTGGTCTCCCCCCAACTGGCCCTGCCTCTATGGCTGATATCATCAAGCTTTGTGATCTCAGACAATCCAATGCTTTGCCATAGGATTAGCTGCAAAACGCTACACAAATCAGCATCTCCTCATAGAGATGCATTGAATCAGTGTATCTCTATGGGGAACGTTCAGCGCCTCCAGAGCATGAAGGCCCTGCATGTAGGTGCTGCACACTGTGCAGCACTGACACAGGAAGCACCTCTAGTTACCGTCTGAGTGACTGTCACTAGAGGTGTCACTAGGAAGCAATGTAAACACTGCCTTTTCTCTGAAAAGTCAGTGTTTACATTGAAAAGCCTGCAGGGACAGGTTATAGACAACCGAACCACTACATTAAGCTGTGTGTGTGTGTGTGCCTGATAGTGAGTGAGCTTGCTTGCATGTGTGTGCGCCTGCTAGTGAGTGAGCTTGTGTTTTTATGTCAATGAGCTTATGTATATCAGTGAGATTGTTTGTCTATGAGGCTGTGTATCAATGAGCTTGTGTGTGTCAGTGAGATTGTCTGTGTCTGCATGTGAGTATGCTTACTGTATAATTAAACATTTTACTCTGAAAGGACCAATATTTTATATTAGAAAAAGCAATATATATATATATATATTACTCAATCATCTGGGGTGGCAAGACATTGCCTTACATATTACATGTGACAATATATGGCGCAATGACTTATGGGGCTGGCATAGATTTATTTCCAGGGCTGTTTTGTATCCCCAGTCCGGCACTGCCTGTGGGTCACCAGTAGACTGGTGCACCTGCCTAGGGTCAGAGCCGGTGCAAGGATTTTTGCCGCCCTAGACAAAAGAAAAATTTGCCGCCCCCCCATGTGACATCACAATGCCCCACCCATATGATCTGCCATATGAACTAATGCCAGTGCTGCACACAGTGTGTGTTTACATTAAAAAGCCTGCAGGGACCGGCTTTAGACACCAGAACCACTTCATTAAGCTATAGTGTCCCTTTAATGTGAGGTAAATTATAGATTAGTGTCACTAATAATATACTAGATTGCCTACTTACAACAAGATGAGGATGATGATGGGCTGCAGTTTGGCTCCACTGGTCTGGTGTAGAACAGGATCTCTGGAGGCTGTTTGCAACTGTGGTCACAAAATTCAATGTTCTGGGAGAATTGGAAGCAACTCCATTTTTTGGGGGCCCCTTATACAGCTCAAGGTCTGGGCCCCAGGGCCTGACGGTGAGTGGGCCTTATGTTCCACCCACCCATGAGTTGGCTCACAGGGAGTGGAGTGTGTAGTGTTATGTGTTAATGTAGAGGATCTAATATGTGTGCTTATGATATGTAGTGTATAGGAATACCAGTTTGTGCAGGTGATGCAGTGTGTTTGTGTGTAGTGGAAGCAGTGTGCATTTGTGTATAAGGGATGTATTATGTGTTTCTGGTTGTGTGTAAGGGATGCATTGTTTGAATCTGTGTTTGTATGCATAAAGGATGCTCTCTTCTTCTTATCCCCCCTTCTTCTTACTCCCCCCTTCTTCTTCTTACTCCCCCCTTCTTCTTACTCCCCCTTCTTCTTTCTCCCCCCTCTTCTTCTTACTCCCCCTTCTTCTTCTTACCCCCTCTTCTTCTTACCCCCCTTCTTCTTACCCCCCTCTTCTTCTTCTTCTTACTCCCCACTCTTTTTCTTACCCCCCTTCTTCTTCTTACCCACCTCTTTTCTTATCTCCCCTCCTTCTCTCCCCAGCTCTCTTACTCCCCTTCTTCTTCTACCCCTCTTCTTCTTACTCCCCCCTCCCCCTCTTCTTCTTCCCTTCCCCCCCCTCTTCTTCTCTTCTTCTTACTTACTCCACTTCTTCTCTTACCCCCACTCTTCTTCTCTCCCCCCCCTACCCTCTTACCCTCCTCCCCCCTCTTCTTACTCACCCCCTCCCCTCCTGTTACTCCCCTCCCTCTCTTCTTACTCCCCCCTCACCCTTTTCTTACTCCCCCTCCCCCTCTTCTTACTCCCCACTCCTTCTTCTTACCCCTCCTCTCCCCTCCCCTATAGCGTGGCCAAGCTGCTCTCCGGTCTGCAGTGCCCGGCCGGAGTGATAAGAAGGTGCACACTGAGTGTGCACCTTCCTATCACTCCGGCCAGGCACTGTGGACCGGAGAGGAGCTCGGCCACGCTACAGGGGAGGGGAGGAGAGAAGCAACTGCAGCCACCAGAGGCTCTTAACAGAGCGCTCAGGCGGCTGCAGCATTTAAAGGGCCGGCCCTGCAGCGGCCGGTCTTAAAAGAATTTAGGCCTGCCCCCAGGCCCAGCCCGCCCCTGGTTAAAGGTATGATTTATGTAGTCGATATAAAAAGTTTTTTATAACAAACACAAAAATTCTTTGTGAATTTTTTTATTATATTGTTGACATTGCATTTTAACTTTTCTGTGCTTAGAAAAATCACATTGTTATATTACGTTATCTTTATTATTATTTCAACCTTTTAATTTTATATTATTTATCTTTTGATTTGTCAGTAGAATGACAGAAAGAAAATTCCAAACGCCATAGCCTGTATAACCCACTGTAGCTGTTATAGGACCAGAAGTGTCCTGTTGCCCTCCCAGAATAAGCATTCAAACGATTTATGAACTAACCTGGGTCCCTCTGGGCACCTGTTGCCTGAAACTCTGCAACTGACTGAAGCCTGGTTGTACAGGGCCACACTCATTGGCTGAGATTGCTTAGATGATGCCAATGAGCTTCTACAGCAGGATTTAGCTCAGTGGAGCTAACAGAAAATCCTGACAGAAAGGGAGGCAACAAAAGGCACCCAGAAAATCCCAGATAAGATGTCCATTCTTAGACGGTGTTAATACTTAATCTGGGTGGGTGTCAGGGGACTTCTGGAACCCTAACCATTAAGGCAGGTTGTAGTGGTTTTGGTGCTTGGAATGTTTCTTTAATTACATGCAAGGAAAAACAGATTATCAAAGCTTCATCCACCAAGAGCCCAATGTTGTGGACCCCTCTCACGACTTTTAATTTTCCTATCCTATTGCCAATTTGGAAAGCATGGTAGACATTGAGCACAACAATTCTCTCTTTTTTCTACTTTTTTAAAAATATATATATACACAAATATCTATTATCTTCATTGGCAGTTGCATAATGTTTAGAAGCAAAATTATTTGTAATATTGTTGAAATAATTAAAGTATTGGTAGTTCTAAAGGACATAATCTTACACACAATCACAGGGCACACTATTTCAACATTAATCCATGACATGACATGATTCACTTTTATTCCAGAAGTTTGGTCCTTAAGGGGTTAAAAAGGAACAGATCAATCTCAAGATGTAATGCTAATTGCAACACTGCTGTCTGCATGTATGTAGAATTTCCAAATTATGTTATGTACGTGCGTTCCTCCATTCAACCATTCAGTCAGATTTGGCAACATACAATATTCATGTGCGGTCAATTGCATGATTGGCTGCATGATTTAAGTTACAATACATTCATAATTTAGGGATCATATTGTGCGTCTTCTCAGACCAGAGCACATAGATGTGTTCTATTACTATATAATATAAAATAAAAAACAAGTGACACACTGAAAGAGACAGTTTAAGCTTTCTAAATCTTAAAGGGACACTCTTGGCACTATAACAATTTATAGAAACATAGAATGTAACGGCAGATAAGAACCATTCGGCCCATCTAGTATGCCC